TCAAACAATGGGGTTAATAATCCAACACAAATGGATCATGGAGCCCAGGTCTGGGCTGGGAGGATGGTGGCTGTTGCATCAGTGATGCTAATGCCAGGATAACGCTGATAAATTAAACATGGGCCTGATCAACAATTACAAGTAACATAAATAACATTGAGCATACCTTTCAAATAAAATATTTATTGTTAGGTATACACTTAAGTCACAATACGATATGATTCACAATTTTTTGTTTTTCCTAATAATTATTTTTCACAATATAATTTTATCGTGATTTTATTTATCGTGAAATTATGACCAAATACAACACTCCCTTGTTTGTATGGACTATGTAAACTTCTATAACAGTTACTATTATTATGGTCATGTATAAAACGCTGCTCCATATTTTACTTCCATATTTGCTAACCAGAAAAACAAAATCCCAGAATCCCTTTGTGATTTCAACATAATCTCAGAGAGTGAATGCTCCACTTAAAAGGCTCCATATTCTAGAATAAAACCATTGTGTCACCAGCCTGTGCAGGACAGCATCCTGGAAACATAAAATGTTACAACAAAATATATTATTGTTATTCGTCACATGCTCTGTACGAAGGTTGGCAGAGTCTGATTCAGAGTCTGATTCAGCCAGAGATTGTTCTGCTTTTTCCTTTTCCGTGAGAAAATCATCTGCCAAATGCCATCTGAAAAATTCCCCCCTCTTCTATTGAAATTTATGAAGGCGACAGGGCCTTTCTCCTCCCAGCAGCCTCTATGATCCTATTCTCCTCTGGTGAATTGCTTGCCTAATGGGTACTGACAGATGGGGCTGAAAATAGAAAGTCTGGCTGTGAATGCCCTAAAAAACCCACTGTAGTTTGCAGGAACGCAGCTGCTGTTTCAACTCATTTCCTCATTCTTTCAGTTTTCCTGTGTTGTTAACTCTCTAAATTACACTTTCATCATTGTTTTGGCCTCTCAGTTCACCATGTTATTTCCTTTAATGCATTGTGTCTAATGAAAGCTAAGTGTTACAGCATGGGTGTCCCAACAGCTCCCAAAGGACCATCTGATGAGCCTCACGCTTCTCCTTTAGATAATTCAGTAATGACAATTAGGGGTGTGTATTGGCAAGAATCTGGTGACAATACGATATTCACGATATTACTGCGATACTATAAGCATAACTAACTACTAGGAAATGTTATAATAAATATATTAAACAAATAAACTGCACATTCAGAAAGAAAAATCAAGAACACCATGGCTCAGAGAGACCTGATGTCCTGCAGAGGACAGTCAGAGTCCCTGAAGACAGACAGGTGAGGATGTACACTTTCTAAGGGAAAAGTAAAAACTACAAGATCCTATTCCGGATTTGTCAATAAACCGTGACCCGAACTGAACCATTGATATTAACTGCAAAATAAAATAAAATAAAAAACATTAAATAGAGGCATTTATAACTAGCTGCCGCAAGACGACACTATGCGCTCGTATTGAAAACACAATCCCTCCAAAGGACATGCTTTTAATTAATACATTGAAAGGAATAAATACTACTATAATTATTCTATACTATACTATAATAATATGCTGGAACTACAGTTACGCGAAACTCAAACGGAATGAAAACAAAGTTACACAACAGCCGCGTGTTGCCGCGTGTGTTGCCTTGTTTACGGTCCGCTCAAGTTACAAAGAGAAGCGTGAGAGAAAAGGGGCAGGAGAACAGGTATTCCCCCATAACAAGCGCATTAAATCAGCTGTGTAGAACTACTGTGGATACAGGGGGAAAAAGGAGTGTCGTCATTGATTGCGGTGAAAGAAGGAAATAAAACCAATATGTTTCATCACCGGAAGAACAATCACCCGACCTTGTTCAGCAAAGTAAAGGTAAATACACAGTAACTGGATTATCGAGTAACTTTAAATGGTAAGAGCTAACTATATGGTTTTTAAAGTGTTATTCTTACCTCAATATGGCATCATTCCTGAAATAATTGATCAATAAATGTCTTATTTTCATTATAATACATTCATTTTAGGGTGTATTTAGGGAACCCGACTACTGACCACAGTTCATCGTCACATACGTTGCATTAACACCGTTCAAACCAGTGTTAGGCTTAAAAAAATAACAAACAAACAAACAAAAACACATGTATAAATAATAATAATAAAAACTCACCAAAGTAAAGCGACGTCTCTACACGGTCCAGGTTTGAAACCTCACCAACTTGTGTTGTCAGAACTGATCCATCTTCTTCCTCAGCCACAGCTTGTTACGCGTCACCAGAAGGAAGTTGTAATACAACGAGAGCGACAGAAAGCCTAACTTTGATGGTCCGAGAGCGACAGAAAGCCTAACTTTGATTATTCAAATGCTTTCTCGCTGGTCATTCCTTTGCTGCTAACCAACAACGTTCACCGGAAGCTGCTAGCATGTGTCTTGTTCACAACCACTGGGCTGAAGCACGTATTAGAACCAATAAGAGGAAACAGAAACAAGAGCTCATAGAAAAATAAATCAAATTCATGTGCAGAGTGAGTGAGTCCGGTCGTCAACAGGTGAATCGAGGTGAGCGTGTTCATCCGCGTGCGCATGCGTGTGTGATTATACCTGTTAAGGGTTCAATTAGGGGCTGGTGTTATCGGAAGTATTTATTCAAGTCACGTTCTCCTTGATGTATATGACAATGCTGTGTACAATATGATTTTAGTTTTTAATGTAATTCATGTCTTGGTATGTAAAGAAACTCATGTAGCATCTGTGTTAGGGATATATTTTTCTGTTCAGGTTTTTACTTTCAGTAAAATTAATGTACTGCAGGCTTTCTACACAACAAAACACCACCTAGAAACACGTTTAGACTTAAATGAAAGACATTTAGATAACATACTTAAATGACTTTTGGAAAAGTCAGCTCTTGTCAGCTATGGCAGTGATAGTTAGAACAAATAGTCCTCCACTAGATGGCAGCAGATAGTTAGATTATTACATATGTTTTTGTGACATTTTTGTTTGATGGTCCACTGTAGGCATTTTGAATGAAAATGTGTCGCTGGGAAGTACAGTTCTAAGAAAGAGAAGTTTTTGTTTTTAGAAATTTTAAGCTAATTTTGCTAACTGCAATTTAGCATAATTGTAAAGAACAAGACAGAACAAAAACAAAGCAAATATTTTTTTAAGACATTTACTTTTATTAGAAAATGATGTGTCTTGTGCTTGGTGTTACACAGTACAGTACCCTAACGCAGGTGTGATAACATCACACCTTAAGTCGTTTAATAAAATTACACATATTTAAAATAAAATGACAATACTGACACAAAGTAAAACCGGTTTACAATTTTGTACCAAAGTAAGCACCACAAATGAATGCATTATTATATATATATATATATATATTTAAATTTGAAATGACCAAATGTACTTAAAAAAATCAGTTACATTTATACAGTGTGTACATCGGCATATTCACACATATATACAGACATGTAAGAGAACATTAATTATATATATTTTCTTAAATTATATGCTTCCCAGAAGCATTTAAGACCTCGAATGTCGTAGACATTATGGATAAAAGCGGCAGAAATACAATAGCAGTATTATTAACAGCAAATACAATAATAATATACATTTGGTGATATTTTCGGAAAATAAAATACTTGTGTTAACAGAAATGGCAGGATGATCAACTTCCCTGGAACATGAAGCATATCATTTCATGCAACTATGCCATAACAGAGGAGCTATTTTTAAATAATCTGTATCTCAATAAAAGACGGGCTTAACTTCAGCAATGACCTGAAGACAGACTTTATATTTTAGTCTCTGGTCCATCTGTGATGAGCGGCTGAAAGGAGTTGCGGATGCGTGCGGCTTCTGCGGCACAGAGGTGACCGAAGGCTTTGTTATACCAGTCTGGTGTCCTCCCTCTGGAAACAAAGAATGGAAAATAGGTTTAATTAAATCTATGAAACTCTTCCTTGCCAAAAGCCCTCCCACTGCTTACAGACTGAGACAGATAATAAACCTCGATGACGTTCTTACTTCAGGTCGACTCTGCAGATGTGAGTCAGTCTGGACTTCCCAGAGCCGCAGGGCTCCAGCAGGTAGTTGGACTCTAGGACGATGGCTCGTACTCCTCCAACAGGAGGACAGTCCTCGTGCTCTATGGACGCTGAAACCAGGGAACAGGCTCCTTTAGGCAAGTCCGTCCTCCAGGACCTTCAATGAAACAGAGAGACAGTGAATAAGAGCTGTAGAAAAAAATATAATAAATATACATTTAAATGTCCTTCTATCAATACTCACCGCAGAACCACAAAGTCCCTGCTGGGGTGAGGAGGCATGCGGTTGAGGACATATTGAAATACTTCTGTCTGCTTGTCCAGTGTCTCACACACTTTCCACTGTAGCAGGTCAACATCCCACAGATGGCGCTCTCGCAGCACTCGATTTAAAACAACTGATGGGGGTGCTTCAACCTCCACAGAGACTCTCCATCGTCTGAGTGGGTTCCCGTCTCCTGCCTGTATAAATATTTATATTGAGTGTTTTTTAAAGAAATTTAATTATAAAAATGCACATGTTGAATCTGTGAAACCTCATTGAAATACAAAGCTAAACCTCTGTGTAGATGAGCACAAACCTTCTTGTAGTAGAGCTCTGTGTTGTCAGAGCTGCTGCAGGACACCCAGTACTTGGACTTTTCCCGGGACTCTTTCAGCAGGTTCTGCAGCCTCCCCTCCATATGTGATTGGTACGTTCCATCATCCTCCTCCAGCTGCTTGGATAATTCTTCAATTGTCAGTGCGTGCAGGTCAGCCTCCACGTAAGAGTTCCGCGACTGAGTGACCATCTCATGAGGGATCTGAGGGGAACAGAAGAGCACTTGATGAGACTCGAAGCATGCGGATTTCCTTCGTTGAGCATGTGACACACTGACCACAATGTCAGCCGGTCATGGACTGACTGCAGTTTTATGGTGGGTTTAGTTTGTTGCATCATTGTTGCATCATTATGGTCATTGGGTTACAACAGCTTTGTCCAATTTCTATTTAAAGATGTTCTTCGATTTATCTTCAAATCTTAAGTCACTTGAAATATAACGATAAGATGCTGGAGGGTAAAGGTTCTTGGAGATTCATTTGGAGCAGCACTTTATTCGTGGTAGGGTTAAAAACTAAACTAAAGGCAAGTCTGAGTTCTGTACCTCAAAAAGACGGTTGCACTCGATGATCATGTGAGCAAGTCCTTGTGTCGCTGCTAAATTCTCATTCAGGTCCTTCTGGTCTGGTCTGCCGGTAGCGTACTTCTTCTGCATGGCTCTAAAGGTCATGGAGACAGAGAGAACTCATTAGGTCTGCTCAGTGTTTGGGTCAACATCCTCACAAACAAGTTGTGCACACTTCCTCTTCTCTACAGGAAGCCCCCTTTGATCCCTTTAGCAATAATTTCAACCTGGTAAATTACAGAGCTTAGCTTTGTTAGTACGCAGCATGAACTCATAAAACACTGAGTTTTGAATGTCCTTCTAAACCTGGTCCAGAGGGACAGTAATTTGCTGCATCCATGAGAGCTGGGACACAGTAACCCAACAATGTCTTCATGGAGCCGTGGTGAGGTGGCGTGTCTTTTTCAGTTAACTGTGACTCAGGACATAACCACACACCTCGGGGAGAGATTGTCCTTCTTGAGAATGTTGAGGTGGAAGAGGGACGGAGCCAGGCACACGGCTATGTTCATGGGTGTCATCTGGTTTTCCTCCACAGAGGAAGTGACATCGCTGAGGAAACACAGCAGGGTCTGCAGCACCTCTCGGTTTTCATCCGACATTAACATGATGGCCGCCTGGACTGCCTGCAGCCTTTGATCCTTAGGCACATCTGTTCACATAAGGAGCGACAACATGAGTTCTGCTTCACCGACCTAATTACAGACCAAACAGAAGCGAGTGGAGCCTAAACGGATTTAAACAACTGGAGGGTATAGAAAAAAATATGATTCAATCTGTTCCCTTTATCCAATCAATTCTCTAATGCAGGGGTGCCCAGTTTTTTTTATTCTCTTGTAAATCTGTCTGTGTGATTCTGATATTTTTTACGTTACAGAGAAGAAGAAGAAGACTATGCTGACATCTAACACATTATACTAATGAGTATTTTCTTACATTGATAAATGTGTAGAAAGGTCTCTCCCAGTTTGCTGGTGAGCAGAGGCTCAGGTAAATCCCTGAAGAACTGCTTTACCATGTCGGCCACGTCGTAGGCCGACTGATCCTCGTAGTTCACATCGTCAGGAGAGTTCTCGTTCATCTGCCTCAGTGCTTGAATTCTTGACTTTACCCCTGATTTACGGAAAAGACCCACCTGGAAGCCACAAAGGAGGCTCAGCACGTGTAATATTTGACGTTTCTTTCCTCGTTGACAATGCTGTTCATTTTGTTTTAACACTGTTGATATAGGAAACTGAGCTATAATTGGAAGAAGCACAAGGACTGAACACTGACCTGATCCAGACACTGGCTCCTCAGGTACCGTAACGCCTGCTGCAAACCCAGGGGCAGTGGTTGTCCAGAACGCTGCACATGAACTAGGAGTGGAACTCCAAACACGTTTTTATCCTTATAATCTGGCATCTTCATTCTCTTCATGAACTTTGGTACCGACCTGGGCGAGAAGGATGAATAATTAATAATAAATTACACATTTCACAAGTATCGTGCTGAAAACCAGACACTTACCAGGTCCACCCATGTTTGTTGGACATGGAAAACTTCTCCATTATGGCTGTGAGACGCAGCAGGGAGAATTTCTGCAGCAAGCTGAGCTGACCTGCAGACTGGTTTGTGATCTGCAGCGATGCCATGGAGTGACTGAGTCGGTTGGATATCTGAAAGCTTGGCCATCGCAGTCTGTTACCATGAAGAATGAAACATTCAGGAAAATATTAGCAATCATTCTGTTGCTGTGGAAGTAAAAAAAAAAAAAAAAACTTTTCTGAGTCTTACCTGTTTGGTCGTGTAAGTGAAGCACCTACTCCCGAGTCCCTCCGTTCCCTCAGCCTCGTCAATTCAGTATCAACAAGTGATACCCTGTCTCTGTCCCCATCGCTCGGCGTGGTCTGGCTCTCAGTGACTGAATTTCCCTCAAAGTCTAACGTGATCTGGCTAGAGGACTGGAGCCCTCCTGGATTTTCTCTCTGACCGTCCACTTGAACAACTGCTTCTCCGCCGGGCAACACATTCTTTGACCAGTGGTCCACTATCTGCTGAAGACCGTTGACATGTGACAGGATATCGTCCAGGTGAGGAAACAGGTCCTCCTTCTCCAGGTCGATCAGGTCTCCAGTGCTGGCATACAGATGTGAGCCGGGGACATTATCGTACACACTGATCCGACTGCCTCTGGAGCAGCACTGGGTCACAGGCCTGGATGATATGACCGGGGTGTCCCGGTGCATGCTGCCTGTATGCCAAGTAATAGAAGCCCCAGTTGTGGGGGACAGACTTTCAATGGACAGTGCTTTGGGAAAAGTCCCAGGCTTGTGGTCTTTGGGGATATGGACCACCAGGTCTTCATAAGAAGATAATTCATTCCTCCAGTTCTCCTCTGCCACTTTATTCACCTGGGTGTCTGAGAAGATGTCCACGTCCTCTAAATACATCCCACTTCGTTTGTAGTAGGACCGATGATGCTTGTGCTCCTTCAAGCTGGGTGTGCTAACGGCACTGCCACTAGAATGGCTGCTGCCCTCGCTGCTGCACTGGGACGCTGGGTTCAGAGTCCCAGCATCTCCATTCATGATGTCAACACAGTGCAATGTCTTCAGCGTCCGCGCCTCCTGCTGTAGCACCGGAGAACCGATAACCAACGGCCTACCGCCTCTTCCCAAAGTTCCTCGAGAGCGCAGGGTTTCCATGCGCTTCAGGAAGTCTTTGGCTCGGACGCGGCTGGTTTTGCCGTGCTTCTCATAGCGAGCGGATTCTTTGGGTATGTAGGACGTTGTGAGGGAAGTCCTGTCGAGCATCGCTGCCGAATCTGAGCACGTGCGGTTGGAGCAGTCCGAGTCCTCTGTGCTGAGGCCTCTGTGGCTGCTGCCTCCGCTGCTCTCACTGTGCAGAGACGAGACCTCAGGCTCACTCAGATCTGTCAGCACACTCTCACTGCTGGTGGTGGTCCTCAGAGGGGCCTCGTCGCCGTAGGGCTGACCCTCCCTGTTGTTTTCTAGGAGACAGTCAATGTCCTCCAACCTGGACCAGCGCCGGCTGCTCCACTCAAAGGTCCATTTGTCACTAATGGCAAACAGGTCTTCTTCATCAGAGTCTTCAATCTAGAGCCAAGACAGATAATCTCGTGTCAGATCAGATGACAGTTCAGATCTAATTTAGGGAATAATTAACACAATTAACCACGCAGATGCATCTGCAGCGCTCATTCCCACTCACTGAATGGAAATACAGTAATTCAATATCAACATGAACTCCTGAACAGTAGGGGACATTACACATTTATATCAACTGTGAGGCTGATTAAGCAGGAAATGGCTTTTGGATGTGTCCACCAGACTGGTGTGATTAAACACTCAACAATCCATACATCCAACTTAACGACTTGACCAAAAATAGACCAAACCATTAAAGCTGTAATGTTACATCATGGGGACCTGTAATAATTAAAATTATCCAGATGTTTAAATAATCAGTTTTATAGAAGCTGCAGCCTAAAACCATGGACATGATCAGGCTAACACCAGGCTGTACTTGGAATGACCTGTGCCTTTCCATGTTAAACAGGTTTATATGTTTAATGTTTTAAATACATAAGTCACAAATACTATTGTTAAATAACCAGGGCTGACAAATCTTACTTTCTTTTTTGGGACGTTGACGTCAAGTTTCATAGAGGCACACTTGTTCAAGGTGTTAAGTCGTCTGGAAAAACAAAACAAAACACACAAACAGAGGATGAGAAAAACAGCAGAACACTTTGACCAAACTAATGACCTTTTGAAAATGACCAACTTTTATTAGTTTCTTGTTTCTTGTCCATGTTTAAGTAAAATGCCGCCTTTTATCGTGGGAGAAGAAGCAGACCCAGAAAGGAAATTCAGTTTCCTTACACATTATCCTAAATCTAATGAAGGCTCGTAAGTGTCAGCCGCTCTGGTCTCTTTCTTCCAGGGATGGATCTAAGTGCTGGTGGCTTGTAGAGGTGAACGTAAGGTCAGCAAATTATTTGGCCTCATCTCGAGGCTAAACATAGCCCTGTATATTCAGCTAAGCCGGAGTTAACCTTTCTCCACTGCTCTGCATATCACTCTTGCGTAAAAGAGAGAGAGAAAAAAAAATTTCTTAGTTGTAATAATTTCACGGAAAACCCAGGAGTCTTGACGACACATTTATAGACCGTGTGCTATATAGAACATGTGGTTTGGAATTCAAGGTTGTGTGGGTGAGCAGTGTGTTTGTATGTAAAAATGACAGCAGTAAAAGTGTACATGGACTGACAATAGCACATCGGAAAACATGACGACACAATTCATGGCAGCCCAGTCTGCCTTGGCTTCAGACACAGGGGAAACAAATTTGCGGTGAGATAATGACAAGCTATAACAGCCTCAGATGTTGTTCACTGTCTTTCCCTTAAACTGGCAGCAGTGTTCTGTGACAGTAAAAGGTTTCAGAGCCTTAATATGACTTTACTGTAGAGCTACAGATGAGAGGGATTAGCCAGACAAGAAGTTCCCATGATTGTTCATATAGATAGTAGGGCCTGGCTGAACAGAGGATTTCTAAGCATGGGGCCCCCCCTAACTCCAGCTGCCGAGAGAGTTTTCAGTGTGATTGCTAAAACAGAAAGCAGCTCAGATGGAGGATCAGCGTGAACACTCACATACATGAAAATGTCAGTGCAGCCACTATCAAAGACACCCACAGCGTGGAGGGCGGCGTTTATTTTTGCACATGGGCTCTAGTGTGGTGTGACTGGCAACAAAGACATCTTTATGGCGCTATAGAAATGCCGGGAAGTCATGAAGAAATCACGTTGGAGGTGGAACTATTTCCAATTGTCCTCTATTTATCCATGGCAAGTTTGGAATTTGCTCTGGGGTTGTTTGGAGTCAGAGAAATGCGAGCCGTCCGAGGTACTCCTGCCCCGCTCTTCAAATGGTTGCTATAGCAGCTGTTTGGTAAATGAAATGCTGTTATCACCATGGATTTGAACCAAGGACATCATAGGTGTAAAACCAAAAAACAAAAACACCACCCATGGACCAACATGCTTGTATATAATATATAACCTTAAGAAAAAGTAAAATAAATAATATTCTTTTTGGGGTTGGTCGATCGGTATCAGTCTAATATTGGCCAAAATTTTAGAATCGAACATCATTTTCTCATTAGTTTCAGTCTAGACACTTCCGTACATTCACTGAATACTTGCTGAAAATGTTGTACTCAAGTAAAGTCAAATCCAGGATTCAAATTCATCAAGTCAAACAATAAAAACTTTCAGTTAAGTAAAAAGTCCCCACAACTACATACAACACAGATTCAAAGTCATAGAAGAAAGTTTTTATTGAGATCCAGTCCTGTCCAGTCATGTCCCATAGGTGGAGTCACAGTCTTTAGACCACAAGGTAACCCAAGCTATCAACACCAGGTCGCTGAATTAAACAGATTTAGCCAAAGGCTAATTTCTATTTTAAGTCCCTGGGAAACAGCTGCCTCTCAAATTTGAGTAAACAAAATGAAAATAGTTAATACCTGCAGAGAGGTTCCACTAGATCTTTGTCCAAAAAGTCATGATCTCTCTTGACAGATGTGATGTCGATGGGGAACTGTGAATCTGCAAGAAGAAAAGACCAGTCAAAACATTAGGAGAGATGTTTGAAAACCACATTTATTTCACAGACACTGATGGTCGGAGACAGTCTCAGTGACTCTACGACCTGACGCTAATGAGCAGAGACAAACTACACCCCACTGACAGCACTCAGGCAGGCGCGGGCATTACATCTTGCTTTGGGTATGAGCCTCATGTTAGATAACTCAAGACACCACATCCAGAACCTGACATTCCACCACCTTCATGCTACGTCATTATTCTGTATGAAAGGCAGCAGTAGCAGAGTTGAGTAATTCTAACCTACGTACACGGTCAGAGCTGCTTCATTGTAACCTCACGTAACACAACACTGTAGCTTATGTATAGTTTTTATTAACGTTTTGTTTTGGGGGTTGTCTGTATTACGGCGGTCCCTGTACTTCCAGCTGTCTCTCTGAACACTGTGGTGCAGTTTTACTACTACAAAACTGTCAGCAAACAACTTTATATTACATCAAAAGTCTGGCTGGCGCCAACATGAAGATCTGAAGGAGTGGATTTACTTTAAGCTCTGATAAAAACCCCCTTTCTTCCCATGACTTCAGTCTTAAAGCCCAGAGGACAATGTTTATGTAGTAACTGTAGCTTGGAAAAGATTAGACTGTAAAAGCAGCTGATGTTCCGCTTGTTTAGGAGTGTCTGGGTGACTGCGGCTCTGATTTTCAGACCTGGGGAAATGTTGTGTAAACGTGTCTCATTATGTAACCCATTAATGTGCGCTTTTTTTTTCTGTCAAAACGGGGACAAGGACATCAGATCAGATGTCTGTGACAGATCGGTGTCTTTCTGTCTAACAGAAAGATGATATTCAGGCCATATGTGTTAGCTTTCAAAGGACTTAGAATACAAGGGATCAGATGTTTCACACAGGACTTTCATTGGTTCTTGATGCTCCGGTTATCACTACAGTCCATCTCCCACCTTTTTGATGACGCGTGTGGGAGTCAGGTAATGAGTCAGCGCGGCTCAGGTCAAAATTTCCTTGAAATATTTCAAACTTCACATGAAGCGTTGACAACTGTCGGCTTCAATGACTGTGTTGTGTACAACGAGTGGTGTTTACCATGTTGCTTTACTAGAAATGCCTACAACGTGGCAGATAATGAAAGGCCTGAATCAATACACAACTGAATGAGAGCTGAACTACGGCCAAAATAAAGATACATACTACACTTAGGCCCTATATTTAGCAAGCAAATGACATACCAAGTTTAAAATTTAAATAAGATCTAATACAGCTTAGATTAGCCAACTGCTAAAACATAAACAGTGTAACTAGCAGTAGTTAAGTGTACAGCACAAATAGCTAAAATGAATTAAATAAAATGAATGAATTTAAATTGTTAAATAAAATGCTTAAATCTAGAAGCAATCCTTAGGAATAGAAGAGAACTTTTCAAAACAAAAAGGTATGGGCACAATAGAGCAACAATATCAGAGGTTTAAAGGGGAAGAAAAAGTTGAGCTAACAACTTGGTGACTATTATTCAAAAGATAGTATAAATAATGTATCTACTTTCATAGGTAACTGTGCATCTGTAAAATATAATGTTGATTTATTGGTGAGTGAGAGCGTCATTACCTTCAAATAGCTGAGCATACTGTGGGAATCCCGTTGCCCTCAGCCAGTCACACGCTTCTTTGGCCTCGATTTCTGAAACACAGAAAACGAGCAGGAAACGATCAAACAGTGGGAAAAAAAGGGTCATTTTTAACTACAAAACCTAATAAAACAAACAGTGAAAAGTCTGAGCCTGAACTGAACCAAAGACTTCTGCAGCTGCCTGTTTACAGACACAACAAGGTGAAAGAGAGTGACTGGGAAAGTTTGATAATTCTGAGACGGTGTGTATGTTATGATGAACCTGCTGCTCAGTCCATCCTGCCTGAAGGAACCGACTCTGTCTGTAGGAAAAACCTGCTGTATTTGAACTCTTCACATCATGGCACCAAATATCAATTCCGATCAAATTCAACCTTAAATTATAACAACCGTAAAAGGACTGGCATGATCTCTCTTCAAAACAGAAAAAAGACAAGGAATTATATATGTATAATATATAACTGTCATCTTGCTGATCACCAGAGTGAGAAGAGGAAACAGACTATTTGCGCCTTGCCAGTAAATGCTAACAGTGGTTGGTGTTATTTATCGCTTCAGTGGGAAATAACACACGGGTGTCACACCGAGCAGTGTGTTTTATACTAAGACTCAATAAACATTTTCTTGGTAACAGGAAACCAATCAATTCTTTTCTTTCATTTCTCACATTTGTATTTGGGTAACAGTTATTTAGGCTCTAAGATGATCAAATATAGAGTTACTGTAAATGTTTATTTTGTATTGAGGATAGCAAAACGTCTGAATGTTAACATTTTCCATTACAGCTACATAGCTTTGTTTAGCAGGAAAACCTCTGCGCATTTTTTCATTTTTTTTTTCAAAAACACAATTGACTAGCTCAAATGTGTATAAATAAATTAGAATAAAAATTTAAATAGAATGAATTTAGAATAGAAGAAAAATAAGGTATAACTGTGGCTTCTACTCTATGTAACGTAAACAACAAACATTAGAATTGACGACACAAGAAACACAACAAAATACACTAGTATTAAAATATATATAAAAAACTGCGGCTTCAATAACATAGTATAACCCTCGTACAAAAAAAAAAAAACAATATCACGTTGATTACAATCTTACCTGCTAGTCTTTTACTGAAAGCCAGACAGCAGCCAAAAACAAACCGTGGTTTAACCCCCTCCACTCAACACTCCAGCACCACAGACACACTGTCCCAGAAATGTGGTTACAATAATAAAGAACCGCCATTAACAAAACAAGAGTCAGGGTGCCGCTCCGATATCACACACCTGAGATCTGAACTGCTCTTCTCTTTCTGAGCGTTCACCACAAACCTGCCACACTCGCTCATCGCTGATGCGTGATCACAGCCACTGGATGACTGTAGGCGGACACACCAGATACTGCTGTCACCGTGACCAGCTCACCCACTCACCAATGTCACGGAGAAATCAATAAAGAGCGGCATTGGGCTTGAAACTCACCAACAACTGAGTAAATATTGCAGCCTCCCCGTGTCCTTGGATGACAGATAAAAGTCTACAGTTCACCAGTGTCAACAGATGGACTGAGTCAACATGTGGAGCCTCTCTCTGCTCTGTTTACACCTGTCCCAGCTCATGTTGACAGCAAGGGCTCAGCAAACCATGGAATCATACATTTTATGAAATGTTCATCATTTTAATGGGAGTGTACGGTGGTGTATTCATCTAGAACACAGGTGTCAAACTCAAGGCCCGGGGGCCAAATGCGGCCAAGTCGCAGGAGCTCTAAAAGTGACTAACTGCCTTATAATAAAGTTTATTGTGTTTCTCCAGTTAGGGAAGCTGAAAAAAAGAAAAGCCTCTGTGTCTTCTGCTGCCCCAGAACCAGAGGTTGGACACACTGGGAGCAAGTAACACGAGCTGGGAATTCTTCTGTGTTTGGCATTCTGTAACACGAAACCGAGACATTCTGTCCTCTCATCCTCTCTAAGGAAATCTCCGGTGGATAAAAGGTTGGGCGGGCACCATGCCAAAAAATGAGAACTTGCGTTTGCTTTCTACATCCTAACTGACCGCTGGTTGGAAAACAGTCTAAAATTACACCTTTTACAATAAGCAACCTGAAGCTCATTTTTGTCATGACAATGACAATTGTTGGAATGTATGTGCAGGCTTTAGTCATCCGTAATTTTCGCCTTATGCAACACCTTAAAAAACCCTCAGTCATTCAGTTCATACCTGACATACAAAGGGTCAACACCGCATAACATATATTTATACACATCGAATGCTAGGTATTCAAGGTCTAGGTCTAATGCTTTGCATTTGAATCGGCCAAATTGTTTCTGCATCAAAGTCTGTCAAACTAAATACCTCATTTAATCAGCAAATTAATAAACTTAAATGCATTAAATAAATCTACAAAATGGCTGACAATTATCAGATATATCTATTTTACATCACTGCAGAAATGTGTTAACCAAAAAAAGAGTACAACATTTATCAAAACAAACGGCTCTGGATCAGCTAAAACACCAGGGCTAAGTTTAGAAAAACAAACAAACAAACAAAATAAAAAAAAAACAAAACTTAAATGGCTTTTAGTAAATCTGCAAACAAAGGAGTTAAAAGTTGGTCCAGAAACAGATAAATGTGCCATGTAATGATGATTGATAAACTCTTTGCCTCCATGTTAGTTGGGAAATGCTAAACATTAGCCAAAAAAGTGAAAGGTAGAGTGAAACCATTTCTGAGACAATTTCCAATATCTATTTCTAAATATTGATTTAGTAACAAATGACTCACTGACTCAGTCTTGACTGAGCTAACCTGAATGCTAATTTGCGGCTAATGTTATTATATCTTCCAAATAAAATTTCTTGCTTTAATTGGGCCTTTTTTTTTGTTTGTTTCAAGCTAATTTTATCGCACTAAGTCTGTCATAACTAACATCTACCAATGTTATGTTAGCAAATAATAAACAATTTGTTTACAATTTGTTTTTCTAGATTTTGTTCATGAATTGTAAAATTTGAAAAAAACAAAACAGTTTTTATTTAATAAAAACCCCAAAACATTTGTTCAAAGCATTTTGTACAAAGTTCAGGCTTTTTCAAAACCCTAATATGTATCACTGAAATTCAAGGATAACCAGTACATGTACAAACACTAATTCAACTAAAATCAACTTGTCAACTTGACTTAAAATGTAACTGTGTCTGGATTTAATTTCAAGTTTTTAGAAGGACAAGCCAAATGTCTATATGCTTGTTTTAGAGTTTAAGCATTCAAGTTTTTAAAAGGACAAGCCAAATATCTATATGCTTGTTTTAGAGTTTAAGCAAAGACTGATCAAGAACTCAACTTCTTGACATTCTGCGTCTGAAGAACATGGGACGTTAACTTGAAATCCTGTCTCAAAATGACCTGATGATCAGTGTCTAAATGATGAGAACATGGGATCTGTCACAGTCGCTCTCACCGGCGTGTCGCTCTTAACATTTTAGCATTCACATCACAAATCAATGAAACATGTACTCACGGGACACTTTCATCATAAAGACCAACAGTAAGTGTTTCATTAATCCATAAAGATCCCAGAGGAGTTGGTTCTCCGTGTGTCAGTGCATCTCCATTTCCATGCTGAGCCACATGCCTGCTCTCTCTCTGAACACAGCTTGTAGTTTGAACTCAGACCTTCAGCTCAGTCTGTCTCTTTTCTCCTTCCATCTACCCCCAACCACCATATGCTGGTCACCCACACTATATTTCTTCTTCTTCCCTCCCCTTTTTGCTGGAGGCTCTCTTAACGTCATTACTCCCCCACCACCACTACTTCTCCCTCTCCTCCTTCCTTTCCTTCCTTTTCAGCTCCTTGTGCCCGACCCTCCCATACCCAGCTCTGCCTGCTCCTTCAGAACCCACTCAGCACATTTTTGGCACCAGTCAAAGCTTCAGCCCGAACAGTTTCTGTTTCCTCTTCACTCTCTGACTATTTTGTCATGAAACAACCTGTCGCTTCAACAAAAAAAGAAAAAGAAAATGAACAGCCTCTGGCGACATTTTATGTCATCTTCTAACACGCTGGCTTTAAAACAAGACATCGAGTGAACTTACTCTGAAGACGTGAGCCGCAGACGGTGTTGTTACAGAGGATGAAAGACAGAAATGGAAAATTAAAGCAGCAGAAGTTGGGGAAGACCACGACATAAAAAAGACACAAACCCTCCAGCGCTCAGCTGCAGTGAGTCATGCTGAGACACATGGCCCAAAGACTCTGCAATAACATCATCAAAGAGTTTGTTTTTTCCATTCCACCTTTGTCTGATTCTCTTGCACAGTGAAATCAATGAATGAAAGAGTTCAGTGTGTTATCTGTGTCATCTGAGGCAGCAGATAGAGCCGCTGTGTCACCTGATGCAACACAAAGACAAAGTCATTTACAAACAATCGGAGTAAAAAAATCACATTCAGATTAGCTTAGAAAAAAAAGAGAAAGAAATATCCCTGAGCTCTAGATACACTGCTAAAGATTTAAGGAAAAATAACAGCTACTAAAGAGGAGAATTCTATTTAGTTTGTACAAATGTTACAAACAGCTTGAGCTTCCCTGTCATTTCTTGTCCTTAAAACACAAACATAGTTATAAATGCATCAGTGGTAAAGGTGTAGATTTGAGTAGAGATCAATAACTTGAAATAAAAATAATAATAATAAAAAAGGACTGTTTAGCTTGTTTGCCACCAGCACAACAATATAAACCACACTGGGATATTTTTCTTCCAGTGATTGGCTAAGCAGACTTCAGTTGAATAATTTAAACTACTTGTAAGATAAATGTGAATATGTATTTACTGTATTAAAATGACTGACTAAGCTGTTACATTATTAACAAATTTCTGCTTTAAAAAAACAATAACAATGCGGACGTGTCTCAGAAGGTGTTTTTAATGTCTAGGTAAACTTGTTAGTATTTGTGCAATCACGTACTGAAACACAGGCTCCTTGTTATACTGAATATATAGAAAACATGTAAATAAAATAAACGTCTAATTTCTATGCTCGGTGATTATATAAGTAAGGACCTTATGTCATCACTTCTACTCTGCACAGTAAGTGAAAATCCAGATGTTTTTTTTTTCTTCTTCTTCTTTTTCTCCCACATCCTCTGACATTTTTTTGGCTCTTGACAAAAATGTCTCCTGACTGACAGGAGCCAGGAATTGATATTACAGCACAGTAAAGTTGTCCACCTTTACAGCATTTCTTTAAACAAACCCGTTCTATTAATAAGTACTGCCAGTTTGGATCACAGCTATCACGGTGTGTCAGACCATTCCTCCCCCCACGCTGCTCCTGTGGCAGAAACAAGTGAATGAATCAGCCAGACGCGCCAGTCAGAAACATTAGTCAAAACCCCACAGTGACTATAGAAGGACTCTAACGCCGTCTTCATCAAAAACACCTGGTGGGGAGAAGATTCTAGGAGTGTGCTGACAGGAGGAGAGGTGTCATCATGCTGAGAGGAACGGCCTCTCGTCTCCTTTAAGATGCTAATTGTCCACAGACACTCACAGTCACACAGTCAGCAGTCTGGTCTTTACTGTAAAAGTAAAACGAGACAGTCACACCAACGGGGGAAACGCTGCCTCCCTCCCCTCCGCCTGTCTGCCCCCACCCAGAAAAACCACAACATGCCCAGATTAGTCCAACATTTCCTCTCCTCCACAGGGGAGAAAACAGGAAACGAAAATAACAATGAACAAACGCCTGACGGCGAATGTCATTAGAGAGAGCTATTTTTAACCCAGGTTGACGTTATTTCTCTTTAATGTAACGCCTATCAGGGTTTGCCTCAACAGCACGGTCAAATTTCATGTCTGCTCCTCAAACTGTGTCTCATTTTATCACCGTAAATGTCCTGGACAAAACCCTGATTTAATTTCACTTCAATCATATAATTTGTATAGCTTTATGGTATATAGGACCTTTGACCCTCTGCTCTCAGGTTGTCCCAATAAGGACCCAAAGTCAGTCCCGTCCAGTCACCATATTGTAGATCTACTAAGAGCCTACCAACCTAACAGCTCACTTGTCGGATTGGACGGTTTAGCTTGCCGGATTGAGCCCACAGTTGATGATCACTGTGTGTATAAGAACTGCAACACTGAGCCTGGATCTGCTGAAGATTTCAGTTAAGGTTTGGAGAGATGTAACACTGACAGGATGGATGAGTGCAGAAGAGATAGATAGTGGATATACTGGACAGATGATGTTGGACATTATAGGTGTGGTGAAAAAGCACATGAAGGTGGTTGTAAAGGAAGCATGAATAGGACAAGATTGACACAAAGGGGCAGAGGAGAGAATCTGCTTCCTGGTTCTGCTGACAGACAGTAGCTCAGTGTGATGTCATAACATGGGATTTTATAGTGATGACACTGAACAAGAAACCAGGCTTACAGAAGTCTACCTAAGGAGTCAGTCACTCTAGTGTCTGAACAATGTTTGAATTAACAAGGTCCCCACCAGAACAACTGCTCTGTGTCTGTTTATCACTGTTTATTCACAGCAGTGTCTCATGAACCGGCAAGGTGTTGAAACAAAGGACAATAGTCAAACGTGAGAGATTATCTTTCATCAAAGAGAAGCCACAACACTGAGGTTCTGTCAATTTGACTTTATTCATCATGTGCTAATTGACACAGGAGCTGGCCGTGTAATTACAGAGTCTCTCTGTGAATCACTGTCAGCCTGTTGGACACACAGAGGACCTGTGGTTAACTGTGTGTCCACACTCTGGTGCTCATTTAAACTGAGCACCTCCAGGCTACGGCACCAAAGCAGAACTCCTCAAATATACATGGGTTAGCCAGCCCTGATCTGCCTCTGCCCTGTGGTCCGCGATGACCTGTGAGGAAGGCATTTGACTGGACCACAGGTCTCCACTAACAAATGGATTTTCAGGAAGTAGACTGAAGTACAAATATGGCAGCAGCTGCAGGGAGAGCCCTGCTGACAGGAAATCTCAGAGACCGTGAGGCGCGAGGCTTTTTCAGAATAAAATGTCATGTCGCAAATCAGACGAGCTCTACGTACTAGTCAACGTTGTGATTTTACTTGTGCACATTGGAAAAACATACTGTACTAATTAGTACTCACTCATAACGACTTTGACTCACAGCAGGAAAGAGACGGATTACATTTGGTGATGTTAACAATCACAGGATTCTGTGGTATGACGACGAGACAAAAGGAGCCTCAAATCATGATCACAAGAACAAATGTTAATTCAAACTGACCAAATATTCATGTGTATTTTCATCCTGTGGTACAAACAGATTGATCCAGTTATAACTTCCGTTTTTAACATGACCAACACAGAGGTGGGCTTAACCAGTTTA